CCAAGTATCTTCTGTTATGGTTTCTTTTCCACAAACATTTGTTCTTCTTTCTTGTCTCTATGCTATGGCTTCCTCAAGACAAGCCAGGAGAGTGTAAGTACAGCAGAAGAGAGGTGGCTGCCAAAGTCTCTGTTATTTCAAGCAAACTGTCTAATGTGCTCCATCTATTAACCCAAGACAGTCCAAAAAGTGACAAGTGGCTGATATGTGATATCATGTGTGTGTGTGTGTGCGTGCGTGTGTGTGTGTGTGTGTGTGTGTGTGTGTGTGTGTAATGCCAAACACCTTGAAGCCTAGGGAGCATATTAATAATGTTGAATATCCTGAGAAATATCTCTATTTTTTTTAAATTAAAATAAAATTGATAGTAAAACAGTGGTGATGGAGATTGAATCCTCTTCATTGACAAACAATTGGCAATTTTATTTTAGTTTAGGTTTCAAAGAGTTATACATAACAAGTATCTATTGTCTAGTGGATTTATAGCATTTACATGTGTATACATATGGACGAGAAGAGGACACCAAGTGTCTCCTGCCAGTCTTTCTTCTTTTGAGGCGATATCTTTTCCTGTTGTAGGTGAAGGGATTATTATGTTTCCTCCACTGAGATGGAAGCCAACAGCCCCAGCAGTTTTCCTGCCCATACTGTATTCTCAGATGGAGCTACAGGACACTGTGGTGCTGGATTTAAACTCCAGGTCCTAATGACTGCACATCAGTCTCTCTTGATTTATGAGTCCTCTCTCCAGGCCCTACTGGAAATTACATAGTGATTTATTCTGGGTTTTTCTGTTGTAGTTTAATGGTCAGAGAGATTTAAATTATAAAATGGTTGCTTTATTTCCTTATATAAAAAGGTTTTGTATGAAATTCTATTGGTGCAGCGCAGTGGTGTCACACATCTTTAATCCCAGCACTCAGTAGGCAGAAGCAGGTGGATTTCTGCGAGTTCAAGGCCAGCCTGGTCTACAGAGAGAGTGCCAGCAGAGGCTCCAAAGCAACACAGAGAAACCCTGCCTAGAAAAAGTATTCTATTCGTAAAATATGTCCAGTTGCGACTTGGCAGCTAGTTGTTAAATCATGGCATTTTCTTAACAGATGATAAGGGTACACTAAAACATTTTTTCTTAGTTAACAATGGAATCACAGTAGATGTGATAATATATTCCTATGACCCCAATTGGAAGGCTGAGGCACAAGGACTGTGTGTTTTGTGCCAGCCTCAGATACAGCTGTATCACTACATCATGGATGACTGACAGTCTCATCTCATGGAAGTCTCATCATGGAGTCACCAAGATATAGTATAATAAAAACAAAAAAAGTTATAACTACATATATATTCTATATGTGCTGTGAGTCTTTATAATTTAAGATAGTTTGTAATCTTTTTTTAAGCAAAAATAAGGCAAAGAAAAAAATGGCACTCAAGAGAAATGATCACAAAGAACAAGGGCCACCATGCAGTGAGGTCACATTTACTAAGATGTCATGGCCGTATTATGTATTTGTCTGATGGCATTCTCTGAGACAGCAAAGAGAGGAGAAGGAACTCAGAGTTTGTTTTTACTAGCCAGTTGTTATAAAAAGAATCTCAAAAAGTTCTAAAAGAGGAAATAAATATTTCCCAAAGGTGGATATACTGAAAACACTGCAAGACAGCAGGCTCCACACTCAGAATACTGTGGCATAAATACAGTGAGCAGCACAGTATAGTGTTGCTATGTTCTACCTCAGCACCCACCAGCTTCCTAGTCCAACACAGCTTTGATAGAATAAACTATCCATTAACAATGTGTGTTGCAAGACAGCTGCTGTCAGGTCAGATGCTTGATTCAGAGGGAGATTTCAAATTATATGAATCCTGAAAATGCAAGACTTTATGCCCTTCAGGAAACATAGAATGAACAGTATGTCTTCAGTGAAACATCTGACTCAAATGGAATAACTGACCACAACATGTTCTGTGAGATTAAAGTATGGTGCTCTTACAAATTAATAGCATGCATGGAAATAGACAATAACCAAAATATCTAGTATGGTGAGAAGACAATAATGGAAATACTATTTCTCCTGCTTATGAGAGAAAAAAAAAACGATGGATATGGCAAGAGAAAAAGAGATAGTGAAGCTTAGTATATTATAGCTTCACTGTTTTCTCTGCAGTCCTACATTTTTGCAAGTAGCTGGGGAAGAAAAGTCAAAACAGATAACGGATTCTTTATTTCCTTCTAAACATCATATTCAGAGTGCTTACACAGCATCTACAAAGCGTAAAGTGAAACAAGTGTGAGTATGATAAAGTCATTGCATGTGAATGCTGAAGTGTAGGGGTATTTGTCTAAGTCTACCTACAAGAACTTCTACTCCTAGATTAGAAGTTGGTAATGGTATACAGGTCCTACTATAGAGAAATTAACAGAAACAACTGAATGCAATGGAAATTTAGACTTGCCATCTTTCTGGCTGATGCAGAACCAATCTAACAGCACAAAATATGAGAATCTGTAACTCAAGAAATAAGGAGGACATCTGTATGCTGATTGTGATTGATAGTTATTAGAACAGGAAGTGTGGTGTCGCTGTTTATTAGCTCGAAGAAGTTTCTCTTTCTGTTTGGAGAAAGAGGAAAAAGAAGGGGTCAACTCAATGGATAAACAGTCCTTAAGGTATTGGCAAGAGTAGTTATCAAAGCAAACTAGAGACACCAAGCCCATGGCCCAAAATAAACGGGTGCTGTTTTCTCACTCAGGTAATAAGAATGTGACTACTATTGTATTTCTTGAAGAAAATTGTTCCATTATTAAGTTGAACTAAAAGCAACATGATATAAATTTCTGTTAAATTGTACATCATTTTGTAAGACAACTATAAAAAAGAATAAGAAGAGTTGCTTTATTATGTATAAAAAGACACCTTTTATTAGAATGATTTTCTCTTGCTACTTGAGAAAGTTTTATCCCTACTAGAAAAGGCTATAAATAGAAAATAAAAGCTGAGTTGGTTTCCCAGTGCTAAAAGGAATATTTGGTTTAATTGGCAAAGAAACAAGTCAGATTATGATTAGTTCTTTCAGAATTTTGTATATTGTGTTTTGATATTATTAGATCTATTTTGTGTTGATTTTGTATGCAGGAGTGTTTTGTCTGCCTGTATATATGTGTATCATGTATGTGTAGTACTTGCAGAAGCTTTAATGTTGTCCATGATCATTACAGAGTCCAACATCAGACTATTTGGCCTAGAGGACATAGATGTAAAAAGAAATTTAGTGAGATTTCCTGTTACTGTGGTGTCACAAATGTTATAACACTGAGACATAAAGAACCATATTTTCCTAAGTGTTTAAGTATTTGTTGATCAACAAAGTTTACAATGTAGAATAATTAACAGAAAAAAATATATTTAATATAAACACTATTGACTTCCATGGCATATCATTCTTGTTATTCATGGAAGTTTATTATTTTACAGGCCCTAGTGCACATAGCAATTCATTTCTCCTTAGTCCAGGGAACAGATGTCTTACAGAATAGCACAGACACATGGGGGAGAGGGCTTCATGGGAAGGTATTCTATTCATTATAGAATTTATAGTCTACATATACGTACACATGCAAATGAAAATATATGTGTGTACCTTATGAGATATTCTATGTGAGTTAGAATCAACTAATTGTTGCTGTTTATTTTCATTGTAAATTGCATTTTTATTTTTTACTGTTTTCTGGGCATTGATATCTAACAAGCCGGGACATATGTCACAGGATCAGAAGGATTTTCATCTCTGCCTAGGTCAATTGATAAGCAGGCAAATAGGCTGAGGTATTTGGAATGATTATATGGTAGAAGGCTGTTGCAGCACAGAGAGCTGTGTAGTGGGAGGCATAGGCCACACCGGGGATGAGAATAGAAGCAGTTTTAAAAAGCTTTAAACCTAGCATAAGCAAATCCTATTGCTTATGACAGACAAAAGTAGTAAGTTGATTAAGACAAGAGTAAAGCTGTCAAAGTGATGCCAGAGAGGGGGAGGACGTTTTTAAAATTAAAATCCTAGTTGCATTTGAAGGAGAGAGCAGAAATTTTTCATCTGTCTACACTGTCAGCTCTCTGTGCACGTGAAAATATATTTATTATTTTCTAAATTAATTTAATGAGTTCCAGATTGTTCAGGATGTCATAATGGAAACAGGATTACACAAGATAGCACTGAGTTTTGTTCTCTTGCTGAGTTTTACCTAGCCTCTCTGTGTCAGACTTTTGATCTGAGCTTGTTACTGTTACCACATTGGAGGAGGTTACAAAAAGGGTAAAATAATAGAAACTTAATCAGGAAACATATTTTTGTATTGCTGCATTTTATTATGTGCTTTTGCCATGGTCCACAGCCTAACTCTGGAAAATAACAAAGGGTATGTCATTTTAAAATAAGAACAATTGAAACCATATTGCATTGTAATTATGTGAGTTTCTACTGAGCCATCCCAAACATTTCACACCAGTTGATCTTCAGGACAAACTTGTGAATTATTTAGGGGTTGTTGTGGGAAGTATAAACATCCTGAACTCCACCTTCTGTAAAGTGCTATTTAAATATTGGTAGGTAGAATTAATTTCACAAATGAAAAACAAATAATAAAGCAGAAAATTAACTGCAAAAGTGCAGTTTGAAAGCCATAGGAGAGGAAACACACTGTCTCCATGAATTGGAGTGGCAGGGTACAAAGCAAAAGGTTGTACTGCATATGCCCAGATCTGTTCATGTGATGCTCCTTGCTGATAGATGAATCTCTGTGTATACAATCCAAAACAAAATAATTAATCAATTGAGATAAATAGTTGTGTTCTGAAATCCTTGATTTGCTCTTTATCTTTAATCAGTCTGAAAATGGCTTCTATCTAGGCCACAATTTCTCTTCTGCATTTCAAAATAAATATTTTAGAAAACTGAAGTTACTAATTAACACTTTCTTATTTCACCTTCTTATCCTTGGCCAGATAATCACCATGGACACAGCCTTGAGGAGAGGATCATCTATGGGGTAGAAAACAGCAGCACGTTCTTGGAATGCAGTCCAAAGTCCCAGAGAGCCTTGGTATACTGGCAATTCCAGAAGCGAAATGAAGATCGTAAAGAGGAGGTACAGGATTTCAGTTGACTGAATTGTTTCTATCCAATACATGTGTTAATTCACCCCAGTACTGCTGCCTTGGAGGAAGGAAAGGTACTGATTACTCCAGCACACCGGGGAACCAAACAACAGATCTTTAGACAAGCACTCAGAGTTAGCTGCTTTTGTAACAGGCTATGTATGAGAAACAAATGCAGCTGGGTAAGAGGCCAGCCCAGGAAGCACTTTGGGCACATATTTTAAAGTCCTTATTTCTTGCCAAGGTTAGTTATAAAGCACTTATGTTTCCTACATTTATGCATTTTAAAAAAATCAAGTTTCCCTGGAATTTCAGGGTTTGCTTACTGAATTTCTGCTATAAAAGTTGGTTTCTCTTGTTCTGTATCTTCTGCAAGTAGGAAAAAGTTGGGAAAGAAAGAGTACTTACTTGATGTAGAGTGAAGAAATTGAGTTCCATTAATTCTGGTATTAGCTATTAAAACAGACTCAGGAAGTACTTCCTTTTCAATAGATACAGCCCCTTCCACAATCCAGTAAGTATAACAACTCATACAGAGAAAATCACACAGAGAGCTCAAAGCTTTTTAAACTACTGTAAGTATTAAATAAAGGTGACCAGAATGCTTCATTCACTTATAAAATACATTATACGCAAATAATTTTACAAGTTCAATGTGAGCCCAAAACTAAAGACAACTGCATTAGTTTTGCATTTGTTTGGTTTTTTGGTTTGGTTTGGTAAGGTTTTTTTTTTTTTTTTTTTTTTTTTGGCATATTAAGCAGTTTTAACATACAAAATTACATTGTAGAACTGTAAAGTTGTTGTATTCATTACCAGGGTATGTGCTTTGTGAGTTTTCTATTGTAACTCTATTCAAAGTAAAAGAGAAGCTAGATGTATCCTGCATTGTATCCTTTTATCTCACACCCAGAACCTTGTTCATTGGTAAATAATTCACCTGAAATAATATGCTTTCTTCTGTTTACTTAAATACTGATATTTTATTTTGATATTTACAAATTATGAATTCCCTTTAAGACTTTGTTTTCTAGGTTTTTGTTCCTGTTCTTCCCAGTTTGTTATCTAATAATGACTTTGTGTCACATTTACATGCTTGCTTTCAAATTTTAAGTGTATCTTTATTCTTTCCTCAAGTATCCTGAGTATTTATATAACTATAGGATAGTCTATAAAAATGGTGGTATTGTAGAAAATTTCAAAAGGATCTGAAAAACAATTGATACAAACTATAGCTTTTTCCCCAAGATAAACATTTTTTTTCCATTTTACCTTAAAAATGTTAATCTCTATAGCCCACCTCAACAAATGTCTAAGTTTTTCTAAACAGAGTGAAAGGTCTTACATGCTTTACTGTGCCTCTCCCTGCCAGATCAGAGTGGGCGATCACATCATCAGGACAGAACAAGGGCTCCTGCTTCGCAGTCTGCAAAGGAAGGATTCAGGCAATTACCTGTGTCACGCTGTGGAACACGGATTCATGCAAACTCTTCTTAAGGTGACCCTGGAAGTCATTGACACGGAGCATTTGGAAGAACTTCTTCATAAAGATGACGACGGAGATGGCTCGAAGACCAAAGAAATATCGAGCAGCATGACGCCCAGCCAGAAGGTCTGGTACAGGGACTTCATGCAGCTTATCAACCACCCCAACCTGAACACGATGGATGAGTTCTGTGAACAAGTGTGGAAAAGGGACCGAAAGCAACGACGACAGAGGCCAGGCCACTCTCAAGGGGGCAGCAACAAGTGGAAACACATGCAGGAGAGCAAGAAAGGTAGAAACAGGAGGACCCACGAATTTGAGAGGGCACCCAGAAGTGTCTGAGCTGCGCCACCTCCCAAAACCTCAAACAAGTACAAACTTGCTTAGATAATAACTGGAAAAATGCAATACACATGGACATTTTCATGGCATTATGTGGATGTTTACAATGGTGGGAAATCAACCGGGTCCCACCAACTTAAATTAAGTCCATGCGGAACTTTCCCAGCAGGCTTTCTTCAGAAAACCAACACCTGACAGAGATCACAGGTGAGCACAGATGTTCACATCAGCCAACTTAGTGTTTCCTCTAAGAGTTCATTTTGCTTTCTTCTTTGCCTGAGAAATAAAAATGTCACTTGCCATATTGCCGTTGAAGGGGGGGAACTGCATCAGCAAAGCCATTTTATTGAAGCAAGGGTCGAAAATAAACTGCATGGATTTAGTCAGCAGATGAATATTCCAAACCGTGATTGGATTCAAGGATGTTTTGTCTACCAGCATTGTGTCTATGTATACTGGAGGAGTAAGATAGGACAAACAAGACTAAGTGAAATAGTGTGTGGAAGTGTATAGGCGTAAACGATCCATCACCCAGAAGAATAATGGAATACACTGATCTACTACTGATGTCTTCTTGCAGCATTGATCTAAAGATGTATTTTATTAAAACTATAATTTAAATGTACCATGACAAATATGCAGTAAAAATTAGCTGTTTTATAAGCTAGAGTAGGTTTTTGTCTTACACTTGTTTTATAATTTGTTTTAAAAATTCCAACTGTGTGCTCCTCTTTCTCAAACTTTGTTTTCAGTTCTGTAAGAGTTAGTATATTATTTTAGATTCATACTCTCGCCATTAACTGTTAATTATTGAAACCAAGATATGAATTATGTTTCCCCCCTTTGAGGATATCAAACAAATAGAAGGTTTCACCACCACCCCCTATTTCTAAAGGTATTATCTATGATTTGCATAATGTTCTTAGCCAACCAAAAAAAAATCAAGACAGCACAGAAGGGAAGAAAACATTCATTACATGCATTCTGAAGGATCAAGAGAAAGAACTGTGTATCTCATGGAAATAGCATTGTCTTAAAGTGTTAATAAAATGTCTCTTCATCCTTTGCTTGATATGTGAGACATAGGGCTCTCTTATGAATCCACATTCCACTGGGGATTTTATTATTTTATCATATAATGACTTCTGAAAGAGACAGAGGTCAATGACATTTTGAGCATCTCAGTGATACATTTCCCAACCATGTCTTTCGGAATCAACTACATTTTTCCCACCCTATATGATACAGCTATTTGTATGAAGAACATATGTGTTTTCATCTTAATGAGAATGAATTTATAAACTATTTTCAGATCACACACTGCACTTAGAAAGTGCAAAACATTGTTTTATGAACAATGTATAAGATAAAGCTATATAAGTAATAATTAGTCCCCTTTGTGCTTGAAGAAGGTTTCTGGAGAATCATTGAGTTCAAAATGCATGAGACGTTCTGCAATAAAACAGTTCATTGGCACTAAACTCATCACTTCAGGAATCCCTTCATAAGCCCTTCAGCATGCACAGAATGCAAAGTAAACATCTTCCTGCTAATTAATGGTATTTTAACTCCAGTTGTCTCATGATTCTAATTAACACGCATTAATTTCTCACCTCAACTGCAGTAAATTGTTATTCCCGCTTCACAGAAATACTTCACAGATGGAAGCTCATGTTTCAGTTTTCATGATTATTTCAATAAACAATTTGTTGACACGTCTTTCAAATAAAAGCCTAAAAATATTCTACATCTGATTTTAGGTTCCTTGACTAACATGGTGTTGCTTTTGGAAGTGCATCCTCAAAGGCATGCTGAACTGATAAATTCATTGAAGATCACACTTTTTAACACAGAATACTGTCAGAAATACTAAGTCAAAGAAAACAGAGCACTCCATAAAAGCTACTGCCTCCTTTCCATAGTGTCTTATCCATCTGAGCATTTGATGTTAAATTTCGTTCTAAATTTGTAGCCAAAACACCTTTATTTATAATCACATACATTTCTCATTTTTTTCTAATTCTTATCACTAAAGGAGTAAAGGAATGAAAAGTATATGATAGCGTCATGGATGCCTTCCAAAAACTGAATGCATTTTGTTTAGCACTATGAACTAGCAATAGAAAAAAAGTTTAGGCTTCAATTAAAAGTGTTACAAACCAACAAATATATTGACATGTCTTTATCAATCACCATGTCTGAATTTTCAAAGAAAACTATTGGTGTAACTTACAAATAAATAAATCTGATGAGAGTCATGATCTGCCAGTGTACATTGAGAGAGGGCAATTTGCACGAAGAATGAATGTCCCACTTACTAACTAGTTAAGATGGATTTTGGCATATGCATGTGTCATCCCAGGTGAGACCTGCATAAGAGATGCATGTGATGTAAGCATATCACCTCAGCAGTCTTAAAGTCTAAAAAATCAGATACATCACAGCGGAACCAGGAGAGACCAGGCCCCGCTAAAAGCAACTGTAATGTGTAAATGCATGCAGATGCACACTTACTGCTTCTTTTATTTGTAGAGTTAGTGGTTTATAATGGTCTAATGTGTCTAATATTTTTGCTACCTACACGTTAGGCCAAGAGGTGTAAATAATTTTGAAAAGATGAGGAAGAACAGTGTAAAATACACGTTTTCTATAGATGCTCCATTTTAGTGTGTTCAACATCATCCTGAAGTGCAAGATTTCCCATACAAGTGACACTGTGGCTTATGTGCTACTAAAGGGCACAGAGTGTGTGCCCCTCCGTAAGCATGCTTTTTGCCAGGTCGTAAATTGTTCCATATCTGTATTTATCGTTGCATTTCAGATGGGAACTAGAAAACTGGAGAGAAAATGTAATGATATTGCTGCTGTAAATTATTCCTTTTTAGCATGTATTCAGTTGCTAAATACACATTTCTTCAAAATATTTGAATTCAGATGTCTTTACTGTTCCCTATAACATATGGTATTGAGGAACTTAAGCTTTGAAACTGTGGAGAGCCAGAGTCAGGGAGCTGCATAATTAGCTAGCAGATTTCTTCACTGTAGTCATCTGTGAATTGTATTCTATATTTATAGTGACTATGTGAATTTTTGTGTCCTTTAAATTAAATATTTGTCCTCTTTATGCCATACCTGGAAAGAAAGCATGGGAATGAAAGTCTATGATGTTCCACATCATGGTCTATTTCCAATTTTTTTCAGGAGCAATATGGACTGCAGATAACTGGCATAGGGAAGCCTGCCCTGAAGCTCATGGGCAAGCATTGTGTTAATATGGATTCATTAGTGTAATGTTTTCAAGTCTTTCTATTATGAATTGCTCCTTTAAACACAACTTCAATTAAGTGAGTCTGTCAGGTGCCTTGGCTCCAAAGACACATTTGAGAAACAGGACTTAACACTCTTATATAACAAATCCATGCTTTTAATTTTAACTTGGTAATAATTATTTAAGGTCAATGTTAATGTCTGCAATATATGTTTCCATAAAGAAGAAAACAATATTTTTGAAAGTATGTAAATCCTAATTGTTTCTTATACTTCTAAAATTTTACTATACTGGTTAGTTAAAGAATCACATATTTGTACACTAATAAATTAGGTGATCCTAAAATGAAAGAGAGGACAGTGGGGCAGAGGTGGGGTCCGTATATCTGGTCTCTTTTCCATAACCAGTTTACAGAGCAAAGGGTTGCCTGTTCATTTCAAACACTCACATTCACAGGCACAGGCCACATTATAGCTAACCAACCCCAAAAAAGGCAAGATGATTTTAAGCAAAAATACTGGGAGCAAGGTGTGATAGCACATGCTTGTAATCTGAAAAGGAAAATGAAGCAGAAGTATTTCGAGTCTGAAGTACACCTAGGCTAACAAATGGGACCCTGCCTCAAACAAACAACCAAAAGATTAAAAAGAAAGCAAAGTTTTCTTCTAGACCTTTTGCCCCTAAAATCTAAACTTTGGCCTGCTCTAGACTCATGACCGTGAACTTGTGAGGTGATAGGATGCTAAGATGAGGGAGGCACGGACCTGTTTTCACAACTAGCCTTAGACCATAGCAACACCTCTCCCTTGAAACTGTGTCCTCCTTATGCTTTGTCCCACTTAACACAGTGGTATGATGCACCTACTATGCACATATTTCCCTCTCTAGATAGTGATTTTCTTAAAGTCAAGTATTTTGCTTTGTTTCTGACATGGGATTCATGAAGTTCAGGCTGGCCCTGAACTTACTATATAGCCAAGAGAACGTTTTTTTTAATTTCTGGTCACCCTGACCCCACCTTCTGAGTGTTCAGACCACAGGAATGCATCACCATAACTAGCAGGGTTTGTGGCCAGTTGGTTTTCCCCTGCTGCCTTGTATGATACCAAGTGAAGATAAAACTCAGAAAATCGGTGCTGAAGAGAACAGCATTGCGATGGGATAAATGCCAAGTTGAAGGTTCCAACATAAATGCTTCATTCAGAAGGAAGGGGCGGGGTATTAAGGTGTGGAGAGGGATCAGGAAGGTTTCAGAGAATAAGGTGATGTGTAAACTATGATTTGAACTATCAGTTGGATTTTCTTAGAAGAGGAAAGAAAAGTTCCTCTGGGTTGCAGAAATACAACTAAGGAGAGAAACTGTGGACACTACTATTCTCTTCCAGAGAACAAGTATTCCTGCTGAATGGAACATGATGTACATTTGAAAACAAAGCCAGTGGTGGGGGAGGGGGAGGTAACTATCTCACTGCTTTGAGTCAAATGGCCTATGACTTCTGAGTTTGAGTTATTTTATGCTGTTTGTCAGTCGCATTATCATTCCTGGCATTCTTTCTTATTTCCTATACACACTGCTAGTCATCCTTTTTGTTTTGTTTTGTTTTTTTGTTTTTCTTTTTCTTTTTTCCTCTTATTGAAAATAGATTTTTTTCTCCTCAGTTAATAGATCCTGGTTATAGTTTCTCCTCTCTCTACTCCTCCCAGTTTCTTTCCACCTTCCCTCCCATTAGAATCAACTTTCTTTCTGTCTTTCATTAGAAAACAAACAGGCCTTTAAGGGATAATGATAAGAAAAAATATAATAAGGTAAACCAAAATCTAACAAGTGATTCCCTGCTCCTGGTACCTTCTCTTGGGCTCTTTTCCTTCTGTATGCTTGTCTCATCCATATCCTGTCTTGGCTTCCTCCTTGACACTGACATCATCTGTCTTCTCCAGTGATTTAACATATTTTGCCATAACTTTTCTGTAATGTAATCACCATGCTCAGCTAGGTTTTGAGTCCCACAAAATAGTAGCAGAAAAATGCCAGCTTCATTGTATAAGCCACTGTGCACTAACTTAGTTCAAATGACAATTTCTGTTCTGTTCACCTGTCTGCAGTGTCGGAAAATGTGGCCTTGACAACCAGCTTACCCTTTCTAACTTGCTGTGTGGCTCCTATAAAAACACCTTTAAAACATGAGGTCTGTATTTGTTCAGAGTCTCTTGGGTAGAGTAATTCATAGCCAAGCAACACTGTTTGTCAGACAAGCACACATGTTCAAAGACAAAGGTGTATATTTTTTAAATGGAAAAATTAGAAAGGAAAGTAAAAATATGAGTTTTAGGTTCATCTTGCGTTTGTCAATCACACACCATTATAATAAACTGTCACTTTTATTCTCATATAGCAAAGTGTATTTTATTTCTCTTATCTGAAATGACATGTGTAGATACAATATTTATTTATATAGAACCTAAGCAGAAATCCTCATGAAAGTGTTCAAGCCATCACAACATGAGTAGTTTTGAAGTTTTAACTCAGTCTCTCTTCTCTTTCTTTGTAAGACTCATTGGAGCATTAGACACCACTAAAAACATTTTAAATCCATGTCACTTGTGTAGTACATTCCTTAATGTTTTGTTTATCTTCTTGATAGCTAAATCCAGAAGTTTAAACATTTTAAAGACAAACTTTGTATAAAATCCAAACAACTTTTCTGCTTTAGTTGATATTTTTAAATGAATTTTTCTTGCCAGGGTGGGTGCTTCCCAATATTTCAAGAGAATGACACTTTTATTGCCATCAATTTTTTTCTATTATTCGTGTAATGGTTCAAGCTACTACTGATAAATATGAACACATCAATTTAGTCCCAGGTTTCTATACATCTCCCCACACATTCCCATGAAGCTTGGACCATAACCAATCTATGTATTTCATTTGAATTCTTACCATCTACTAGGTACAGACTCATCTGTCATTTTCTTCTTTCAATTAGTATGGCCCTAATGATAAATTCATTGGAGTTTTTAAATTGTATTTGGTTTAAGTAAATGAAATGATCATCTGGTACATACTATATAGAATAAGAAAAATGATACCTGGAGTACACATATGTAGAAGTGTACTGCTAATGACTATACTGATCATTTCATTGTATTAAAGGTTTTCACTCCAAAGCACATGTATATACAGAAGCCAAAATTATTATATTTCCATAAAAGCTGTTGTTTACTCATGTGGCATTGAAATATGCATTATTAAGTTTTCTCCTATAGCTCCAGAATTCAATATTTCTAAAGTGAACAACAAATGCCTCAGATTATATAATATATAAAATAATATATATTTATATAAGTATAAATCTAGATTCTGACTCTTTTCATATTTCCCACGTAATCTCTTCTTTGTTAGTAAACATCACCTAAAAAAGTATGTCATATCAGATCTGTATTTATTATTGAGTAGTATTCATAAACTTCCAAAGACCAGTCCCTACATAGTTATAGGTACAATTATCTGCATGGTACTATACACAAAGCTTACTGCAGCACTCTCAATAACATATTTCACATTACTATAATTTAATGTTACATTTGGAGTAATCTCAACATAACTAAACACTGAAAACACTGACATGCACTCTGATAAGGTTACTGCTTGGCAATATAATATTATGTTTTGGTATCACTTCACTGCATTACAGATGTTCTCACAATGTCCTTTGAAGTTTCCTCTACAAATTAGAAAATGTTTATCAATCTGTCTTCGGAGTAGAAAAACTAATATGTAGATTGCCTTACATTTAAAACCAACACGTTTGATTGTCATTTGACCCAATTAAAAGAGAACATTAATGTTTTGATGTCCATAATGGGTCTGTGCTGCCACCAGAAAACAGGTTGATGTCCATGATCGCATGCTACTACTGGAAACCATGCTGGTGTCTGTGATCCCTATGGTCGCCTGCAGCTATGAGCAGGAAAGCTTCCTTTGCAGGGGTATCAATGACTAAGACTCATAACTGAGAACCAGACACTTTGGGAACTTCTATGCCAATGTCTATCCCACCAAAAAGAAATAGTCCATGACAGAAAGCTATAGAAAGGATGCTGAAGTGTAGCTCTTCATGGTTGATGTCCTCTATCAGGGGAATGCATTGGGAAGGACTCAGAGAATTTGACCATTCTCCAATGAGTACATGAGCAAAATATTGGACTTGGTGGGGTTTTGGGGGTGCTCAAGGGTGGAAGAATGAACCTGGGAAGAATGAGAATCGAGTGAGACCAGAGTGCATTGTATGGAATTCCCAGATAGTTAAAATATTATGAAGGGGGAAAAAAGAGAACATTTTATTGTCATGTTGTATAGCATATACTAACATAAAATAGAAAACCTGAAGTAAATTACCAGGACAATGTGAAATATTTAAGTTCAAACAACTTTGAAAGAACATGCATTAAAATAAACGATTTATTGGCTTGAGTTTGATAACATAATATGGAAGACAAATGAACCAATGAAAAGTTGGGCAACTGCTCAGCTGTAACACTTTAACTACCTCTTATAATTTATTTCTCTAAAAAACAAACAAAATATATTGCTTTTATGGATTTTCCTTAAATAGTTTAAATATAGCAAGATCTGGCTGGATATCTAGAAAATGAAAG